ATTGTGACTTTTCCAAAGGTTTGTGACCTTTCCGGTAAGGCAGAATAAAAACTTTTTCACACTACCCTTTGTTTTCTATAAATTGAGAGATTTTCTCTCATTTTAGTGGAACTAATTTTTCTAGACTTCTTCTACTACTGCTAAATCTAGTATTCTAAGTGTACTTTACTGCCGTTAAGTGGTTCCTTGACACCATGGTTTTAGGTACCGATACACCGGTGAGTAAGATCATTCTATCCTGGGAGGATATATTTCATTAACATCGGGTACTTGAGGGGAATAATTTCCTTAAGGAGACACTGTGCATTCAGTGGGCCGGGCTTGATTTTCTTCTTTAAGAAAAATATTTCGTATATTTTTTCTAATATGTTTCTAATTCTATTTTCTCTACTAATTTTAATTTTCTAGTTTTGAAAATGCTCTTTTAACTTTGTTGTTTCTTATCAAGTTCTTCAAAGTTTTTGTTCTAAGTATCTTAGGAATACAAGATGAACAACAACATTTTCTTCCAATTGATATATTCAACTATTTAATAATTAGAATGCTTAGTTGGACTTGGAGAATTTTGTAGGTGAATGAAAGACCAGATCCTAATAATTCAATGGAGTTTACACCATAAGTGCATATAATACCCAAACTAAAATTTGATCTCCCTGTTTTTCAGTATCAGTCAAAGTTTAAGTTGTATATACAATGATGATTGTCAAGCACTAAAAATACAAGTGCAAGTAAATGTTCTTGAATGGTTTTCTAGAAGAGGAGATTTATGTAGCTCAACCCAAAATTTTTGTTTGTTCAAGGAAGTGAAGGCAAGGTCACTAAGGTGTATAAGATATATATATAATGGAAAAGGGTCAAAATTACCCATGAACTATGCGAAATAGACCACGTATACTCTCCATTACAGTTTGGGATAAAAACAAATACGCCCGTCGTTATTTTAATAGACCACAAATACCGTCAAGAGTTAACAACAATGATGTGGTATGCCACATAGCACTAATTCCTACCAACTAAATTTTGACACAATTTATAGTCCAAACCCTAACCCATTCTTGCTAGATCCAACCCACTAAAAAGCACCAAAGAAAATTTAAGTTGTGATTGGCATAAAAGGCCTTTAGTAACAAAAAAATGTTGCAACAAACACTTGATAGGTTAGATAGAAAAAAATTAATAGATATTGGGCTCGCGCTAGCATGGACACTTTGTGTTTAATATAGAGCAACTTTCACATATAGCAAACACAAAATTCATATTTGTATGCTATAGCAAAGTTTGCATAATTGCACTCCATAGCAAACATAAAATATGTATATTTCGCTATACATATACAAAAGAAAGCAGTTGTATAATCGGTTTTGGTATACATATACAAAAAGATCAATTGTATAAAGTGAGAGAGGCGAGTGAGCGAGCGAGATCTGGGAGAGGGGAGAGAAGGGAACGAAAATATATGTATATATACAATTTTCTCTCGCTTTATACAAACACAAACGCATTTTATACAATTTGCGTTTTTTGTATAAAGTGAGAGAGGCGAGTGAGAGAGCGAGTGAGAGGAGAGTGGTGAGCGAGATCTGGGAGAGGGGAGAGGGAATATATGAATATATACAATTTTCACGCATTTTATACATTTGCGTTTTTGTATAAAGTGAGAGAGCGAGATCTGGGAGAGGGGAACGAAAATATATGAATATATACAATTTTCACGCATTTTATACATTTGCGTTTTTGTATAAAGTGAGAGAGGCGAGTGAGAGAGCGAGATCTGGGAGAGTGGCGAACGAGATCTTGAAATAGCAATAGTTTGCTATGAGGTACAATTAAATCAAACTATATTTATAACATTTAATTTGAATTAATAATTTTCTATTATATACAATTTTCCCTTTAATATATATATATATATATATATTATTATTAAAAATGAAAAGCTCCTATCTTTAAAGTTGTATTACTATTTTACCCTACTTTATATTAAAATATAATAAAAACTGCTAATTATTTATCTTATTCGTGTAACATTTACATTGCAATTAAATTTACTAAATAATAATTTTGTTAATAATTGTTCTGTTACGTTTTAAAAAAAGTTTCATGTCTTCTCATGTTTTTTACCAGAAAATAACTATTTACATAATTTTTTACGCATGCACCATCACTTAACAGCTAATCTTTATAATTTTCATATATTTAATCTTCTTATTCTCATTTCTTAATGTTGACCTTTCAAATTTCTCACACAATTTTTTTTAAAAAAAAAAGACAAATGAGTAATTATTTCTTAAAGACAAGATATTAAAGTAGATATATAGGGATAAGGGTCTGAAAAATACCTTAACTTTGGTCGAATTTGCTGTTGCGAAACTAAACTTTCATGAGGACCTATTAACTACCTAGACTATTTAATACCGTATTTTTTACCCCCTGAACTATTTAATAGTGTATTTTAAAGGTATATATGTGCCCACGTGGACACATTACTATTTATAATTTTGCATTATATTTTATGTCCACATGGGCAAATATATATGTTTAAAATACGGTATTAAATAGTCTAGGGAGTTAATAGGTCCTCATGAAAGTTTAGTATCGCAACAACAAATCCGACCAAAGTTGGGGTATTTTTCAAACCCATATCCCATATATAAATACATGCATCTTTTAAAGTTAATTTTCATGCGTTATTTTTTTTTAATAACATTTGTCCTTTCAAATTTTCATGTTACTGCAATTCTTGTCCTATAAATTTAACCTTTTCAAGAAAGATGTTTATACAGTCATGGGGATGGAGATAGACAAGAACAATTTCACGATTTGTCGTGAAAGTCGTGAGTTCTCTCTTATACAAAGTCATGGGGATAGACAAGAACATGCCCAGTAATTATGTGACTCAAATACTCCACTCCATCCTGCCAAAAGGAACACAAAGATCTTTTGGCATATACCAAGTGATTGACATGTTCCTAAAGGGATGGACTATAGAACAATATATCATCAAAGAAAACCAACACAAATTGTCTCAAGTAACTTTGAAAAACATGGTTCATAAGGCTCTAAAATGTAGCGGGAACATTAGTAATGAAAGACGGCATCACTTTAAATTCATAGTGACACAAATGTATGGCATCATGCTGACTGGAATTGCCTCTGGTTTCAGGGGAATATAGTGATAGTGATGTCTCTTTAGAGGTAATGCAGTGGGCTATACAAATACATCTTAATAGTGTTGAAGTGTGTGACCGTCTCATCTAAAAGCTTAAGATATTAGAGAGAGCACACTTTAATTAGTTAATGATATTCTCAACAAATAGTTGTTCAACATGTTGCTAATTTCTTCATTTCCAGTTGTTGCTACCGTGAACGAATGAGCCCATAAGACTTTCCATTTCTTCAATAGTTGTTTGACATACGCTGCTTGGTAATCCTCGCCATGAAATTATCCTAAGGCCTGCTCCCTGAGCTTTCAAAAAAGTAGCTTGTTTGGTAGTGTTTATACTTTTGACTAGCACAGTTGTAGCTTTCTATTGTCTGTTTTGAATTTGATTTAATGTGACTTGAAAAATATAAGCCAAATCAGTACCAACATTGTTAGTAGGCTCTTTGAGTTTTCTAGTAGATTAACAGTCATGTTCTTTGTAATCTGCAACTTCATCCTTGTTACATTGCTTCCACGGAAAAATTTTGTGTTCATTACTTCGTTGTTTACAGTTAACCGTAAAGGATCTTGATTACCTGGATGAGTAGTTGGTACTGTTTTCTTAGAAAATGTCCCTAAAATTTACAATATTAGAGATAGTAGTGTGGGACGGGGACATCCTCGTGTTCAATATTTATCAAGTCAAATCCTATCCCTCCAATGCCATCTAACATATTATAGTCAAGCCATTTTGGCCTAGTTTGGGTTCAAGGAGATCAATCTCAACCTTATTCTAATTAGCTACATTGCCTCGAGACTTAGAGTATATATGTAGAGCAACATCAAAGGCGACAACAATTCCAACAACACTTAAGTTCTTAGAGACTATCCCATCTAAAGAGATGCCAAGAAAGTTTGTGAATAAGAATCCAAACAGTAGCAACACATGTTTTCACTTGTGGTTTGAAATCCGGAGACCATTTAAAGACTTTCATATAAGGATATCTTCAATAGGATATGATTGTAATCATTCTAATGAAATCTAAGTAGACATGTTAGAGATTGATAGATACAATTAAGATTTTAGAATAAGCATTTGAGTAATCTGTTAGAATAGGAATATATTCAAGTGTTATTTTACTTTGCTATATATGGGTAGTAATAGTGTTATTATTACAAGAAAAGTTACATATGTTCTTGATTTGTTTCCCTTTCTTCTCATAAAGCTTTACTCTCTTTTTTCAACATTCAATATCTTCATAGAAAAATTTCTCGAAAGCATTGACATGAGCAAGTTGAAGAACAATTGCAACAGTCAAAGATCCATCCCCTTCATTCTCTGGTAGTATAACACAATCACCATCATACTCATGAATTCCTGGGCTCATATGTATCTCTTTGCCCCATCCAAAATCCAACCCCAATACTGGCAAACTTATCCAACTTATCACACCAAGATTAGGATTCCCATAGAAAGGACCCTCCTTGTTTCTAAATGCATGAATATCTTGATATATTGACAAATCCTCTTGTTTTTTCAAGAAATTAATCGTTGAGTTTGCGTAATCACTTGTCACCATATTAATAGCTTCCCTAACCCTTTTAGCAGCACACTCCAATGGGCTCGAGGCAATGTCACCTGAGGCCCCGGTGGCAATGACATCAACGATGGCATTGCCAAAGTAGGTATTAGGCAAAGGTGGATCCATTTTTTTACGTATGTTAACACAAATGCATAAATTTGTAGGCTGCTCAAATTTATGACCTCTTGCCTTACATGCACATCTCCATATATGAGCAGTCACAACTTCATAACGCGTGTAACTACGCTCTTTACTATCCTCTATACTTCTTCCTTGATTTGCTTTTTCCCTCAACATTTCTACTTGAAGTTTAGTAAGTTTTAACATAGCGCCTTTCGTTTCTTTTTTCTTCTCGTTTTCAGTACTGGACTTTCCAATTAAAAGTGGTGGAATATTAAACTGTAAATGCTCAAAAGTAGGAGATGCAACTGCAGGTTCCCCAGCTCGGAGAAGTTTTCGATCATGACAAGGAGCAAACATCAACGGCTCCCCACGAGCAAGCCTAGCCCATTCAGAGAAGAAATAAAGAGCACTTTGTCCATCAACAACAGCATGTGAGATTGCAAAACTGAGAGCAATACCACCACACTGGAACTTAGTAAGCTGCACAAACAACAAAGGGAGCTCATCAATTGGTACAGTGTAATCTACACGGGGAAATAAGCTATTATAATCTGGTGATAGCAAGAAATCGGTGAGATTATCTAGCTTAGCATCAGCTTCAGCTTCCGTGAGAACAACCCCCGAGGCATCACAGTCTAGCTCAAGCCGGGACCCATTGATCCAACGCAAACGGCCAGCTAATGGATAGAAGTATACTAGTGTTTTGCTCAGTGAGGTCTTGAGGGTTTCGATGATTTCATCAGTAACAAAATCATGGAAAAATTTATAGTAATAGATGGTTGGTACATGAGTTACAGCAAATGTTTGATCAAATTCTGATAAGGAGACAGTGCCATTCCATGTTGCCTCAGCTGGCTTAACTACCCAATGGTTCTTTAAGATAACTTTCATATCTTGTTGATGTTATGTTTTGACAGAGTAGGTAAAACTATTTAAAGACCTTATCAAAGAGCCTGAGTTTCATGACCTAATTTTAAGGTATAAACACAAAGAAAATGTGTTATTTGTGACTTGTTTCCTGCGTAAAAGACGTTTGTTAGTTAAAGGTAGATTTCTCATGAACTGAGTTAACTCCTCACAAATCTATGATTACAACAAGCTGTGTATGAACAATGTAATTTTACTTCTTCCAAAAATATTGCAGAACTTGAACTACAAACTTTGTGTGTGGCTTGCCCCACTCATCGTCATGCAAATGCTGCGAAAATAAACATCAGATCAATACTTATAGAGTTGGAATAAAAGTATAACATATGATGAGTTGTTTCTCCCAGAATTTTATTGGAGGATCATGAAAAGATTGGTAATAGCCTCCAAATATATTGGAATATAGAACTAAAACAGAGTCTAAGCAATAGAACTAAACAGTCTTTATTTTTAACAAATAAAACTTTGTCCAAATAACAAAGAAGAGTAGGAACCAAGTAGGAATTAATTATATACTATTATAGATACTTGAAATTCCTTCATACATATAAGCTGTAATTTTTGTTTTTAATTAGTGGTATTCGTGTTAACTTTTACGCACCTATATGTACTTGTATAGTAATATAGATTTTATTTTTTTTAACCCTCCATAGGAGCCTTTTGCTCCCTTAGTGACTCGAACTCGCAACTTTCGGGTTGAAAGTGAGGGGTGCTTACCATCCGAACAACTCCCTCTCGTCGACTAATATAGATATTAGGTACTCTATCCAACAAAAAATCATATAAACTAGAATTCTATGAATTGGGCTTTATCGAGCCCTAAAAAGGATGAATGGTTAAAAGAGATGAAAGAAAAATTATAGTCATCTAGGATCTAGTTAACCTTCATCAAGGACATAGAATTTTGGAAAATATTTTCCTTAATTTTGAAAAAAAAAAAAGAAGTGTTTTTCTTTAAATTTAAGAAAAATAAATTGATTTAAAAAAAAATAATCAAACATTTAAGCTAACCAAATATAAAAAAAATTAAAAAACATTTTCCAGTCCATTCCAAACACACCCCAAATCTCACTCACTTTAATTAAAGCAAGTGAAAATTACAAGAAGGAAGTTTTGGGCTAATCTCGCATTTCTAGATTGTCCATTTCTAGGTTTCATCTCTGCACCAGAAACTACGAACATGTCTTCAAAGATCATGCTGAAACCTAAGGGGAAGAACACCAAGAAAGCTGCTACGGCAGACGAGGACGACAGAGCAGTGGCGGTGGTCGGAAAATTCGTGAAGGAGTGGGGGACATGGACAGCAAAGAAAGCCAAAGTTATCACCCATTACGGTTTCATCCCTCTTGTCATCATCATTGGCATGAATTCTGAACCAAAACCCTCTATTTCTCAGCTTCTTAGCCCCGTATAAACCCCATTTCTCAGATATCAGTCGATTTGACTTCCATTGGTAATGGGTTGTTTTGAATTTTCTGTTTAGCTGGATCACCTTGATACTCATCAATTTTATATTTGTCGAGCTAATTTTGGCTTTTGCTATGTATGGATCATCATTGAACCCAATTGACTTTTCTTGGGTTATCAGATTTGCAGCCCTGTGTTAAAGCCCTTTTCTTGGTAATAATTGTTTGGGAATTTAGGGGTTAGGTTTAGATGTAATAAAACTATGTCTTGTTTGCTCTTTAATACTCTTCTGATGCTTATGGGTTGTGAAACTTGGATAAAAGAGTTATCTTTTTTAGTGAATTACCTTGATTTTGGTTATTTTGATGTGTGTGAAGTATGAGTCAATTTTTTCTTTTGCATTTAAGCTTGTATCATCATCTGTTTCTACTGTTTCATGTATTGTGGTGAATGTCTTTACTGACAATATTATGTAGTTGGTTAGCTTCTTTTCTATGCAAGGCATGGTTGAGCTATGATGAATCCCCTCTATTTTGCTTTCTTAACAAATACAGATAATAGCTAACTCAATTAGAAGCTAGCCCAATTAACTCGCGACTGAGACATGGTTGATGTTGATTGATTGATTGATGTGGCTGATGAAACTTCGTGTTTCAGCCCTTCTCTTGCTTTCTCTCTTCTTTCAATGATTGGGTTGAGCTGTTCTACTCCATATTGGAGTGTAGCTGTCAGGATGTCTGGTACTTGGCAGAAAACAGTTGAGATTTCACTTATAATAGGTGTATTGGTTATAGAAATAAGATGCTGTGTTAATGATATCCTGCGTAGGAGGGGGAGATAGGCATCCTCTGTTTTTGCCTACCCCTGTTGTCCATACGTGAGTCGAGTTCTTGTAATGTACTAGTTTTATATACCATATGAAGTCTTCTCTGAAAGGGTGATTTATTTTATTTGTATACCTACTGATCAATTTAAGCAGTTTTGTTCTTCGCATATGAGACAAGCTTTAGGGCTTTGGTGGATTACCTAATTACAAAATGCATGACCGTGTTAGGCCGTTAGCTTGAGTTTACCATTTGGGGATGCTTTTTAATTGATTTCTTAGTAACTGAATTTAATAGTGGAGCATAGTGGCTAAGTGGATAAAACCATCTACTGTAGTTGTATGTACAATAATTGAAGCTTATCCGACTTAACTCTCTGGTAGTTGTTTTGTTATTACTATCACCGTGTCTTATAACTCTTTTTCCTTTTATAATGGATGATTGCCATCATTCTCTGAAAAGATGGCAGAAATGCTTTTTCCTTCATTTCAATACCTTTGTGGTTCTTTCTCCTCTCCTATACCCTAGATGGAAGATGATTCAAGACTCTATTGTTACTGGAAAGCTTGTGGATATTTCACAGGAGCATGTTGGTGAACACAAATGGTCTAGTTGTTTGCATGAGGATTAATAGCGCCTCAGATAACTTTAGTGTTAATATTGACTTGCCAGAGAGCTGATACATGATTAGTTAGAAGCCGCTGGATGGCAAGTCCAGTGTTTGCTCATTGAGATCGAGAAAGCACTCGACTGTCATTCTCTGTGTGACAGCTTGCCTGTCATGTTGGTTGCTGATTTTAGTTCTGTAGTAGTTGTGCTTTAGTTTCCTACTTGTTTGAAGGTGAATAACATCCCCCTCTTGTGAAAGAAGCTCCAAAATGCATTTTAGTATTTGCTACAATAAGTCTTCTTTTCTCTGATCATGTTGTGAAAAGGTTGAGTTGAGTGTGCGAGTACAGTGATATTTTGTTCCTGTACTAGGTGTTTGTAGTGTTTCTTTTACATATTGTTTCTTCTGCTTTGTTTATCGTATTATTTGTGTTATTTGTTGTTGATACTCTTCTTCTCTCCATTATTTTCTATATTGTTTCTTCACTATTGTATTTCCTTTTCTTACTGATTTGGATATGCTTTACTTGAGTTGAGGGTTTATCGGAACAACCTTTCTACCTTCACAAGGTTTGGGTAATGCTGTGTACATACCGTCCTCAAATACACACTACCGTACTTGGTGTCTGTAGGTATCTGTTCTTGTAATATCCTACTACACTTGTGTTTATTTTGTGATGTCTAGAACTCTTGTAGTCATTGAGAATTTAGTTGGTTAATTTGCATATGCATCAATTAAATTTTACTCGATTTGCTTAAAACAATAATTTAGTCAATGCTAATTCTTTAATTTTGATGCTAGTAATCAAAGTGCATCTACCATTCATCGCAATTATTAATGACCTGGATCATTTTTTGGCCATTAAAGCCTCCTCTCCTATTAACATGCTGATATCTCTACAAGTATGCCACTATCAATTTCAACAAGGAGAATATATTGATAAGGAATGGGTTTGGAACCTCTTGCAAGGAAAGTTGTATGATGGAACCAAAATTGTTGAATTTTTGAGTAATGAGTGGGAAGGATTTGAAGGAGTTTAAGTCATAGATTACAATACTTATTAAGGTTTGCCATATGAATTTGGTTGCAGTCACTGATAGCTGGGGAGGCTCTACGGAAGCGGTGGTCTAAAGTCAAATCGCTCCCAAGTATATTCTACAAAATTAACTTTTACATGGATCACACACCCGTGAATGTCATGCGATGTGTCAATTAGTAAAATTATATTAATATTATTGTTAAGCATGTGTATTATGTATGCATCTAAAGTAAGCGTAAATTAGTGCAAGCTCAAAATGATGAAGAATGATACCATTTCGACAGACTCCATGGTTTAACTCGACAAAGCCTCATTCATAGAGACATTGATAGAAAATGAGAATGACATTTTATTGGTTAAATAAAGTGCAAAAATATTAAATAATACATTAACTAAATAATTATGTTTGTATGGAGTGGAAAAATTTCCAGACAATGATAATACTTTTCTTCTTCTTACAAAATTCTCCTAGACAGATATATATTTATATTAACCATAAAGATAATTACTAACACATAGAAACAATTATTGTTGTAGATAAATGTCGACAATAACTGGTACTTATAACTACTATAGATAACTAGTACTTATATATTTTATCCTATTTATAAAACAAAGAAACTAGAATAAAGGAGTAGTTGTATCAGTGATCCCCTCTGGAAAAGTGCCTTGTCCTCAAGGTGAAAAGAAGGGAAACTGATCTGTAATGAGATCATAATTCTCCCAATTAGCTTCTTCAAGGGGATTGTCAACCCATTGACCTAGCAGTTCCAAAGAAGAAGCACCATCTACTTTGACCGATCGATGTCATAAAACCTTTTCAGGTTACACCATGAATTTCAATTCACCCACATTAAAAGATTGGAGGGAAGTCATGGTGGAATTCACCGATTTCATCCCTTGCAGTTTGTTAACGTTTTCCTTTCCAATTGAAAATTATGAACATATCCTTCAAATTAGCTTGAATAATATTAAGAGAAGCTAATTATCCCAATGCAAAAGGATAATAATCTTGACAATTGATTTGAACATTCTGACAAACTTTATTGCAGCGAATGATGTCCCCATTCTCTATTTGCATGTC